AATTGCTTTCATCGGTACTAAAGAGTGCCTTTGATCCTAAAATCCAAGTACAATCAGGTAGTGCTCAGGGAAGAGGAGGTGATCTGCGGGTCTCTCTTGGGCACCAGATTTTCATATATTATAACCAGATCTAGCTTCTTCCCCACAATAGAACAAATCAAACCGGAGCTTGTTCCCTGAGCAAACCCCCACTCACATCCCCCACCACACACACTCATCACCAAGTATTTTCTGATTCCAACACCCATTTCTCAGTCCTTCAGCACAAGAAACCTAAGAATCCTCTTTCTACCCCTTTATTTCCAGTTCTCTTCCTCACAACCTCCCTCCCCATCTCTACCTCTCTCCTTATCTGACCTCCTTCCACCCCCATTCAGGCTTTGGTTTAAACTGGCTAAGAATCTTGCTCTAAATTCCAGATTGTTGGTCTCCAATACTTCCCTTTAGTCAAACTACTGATAGTCTCCTCTCTGAAGGATTGACCCTGCTCTCAGTGCCCATTAAGTTACCTGTCCAATGATCTGCCAGATATGGCAAGAGAAAACAGATCCCCACCTGCCCTTGTTGTATAGGCCCCACTAGGGACTTCTTCAGCTATATTCACACTTGAGCTTCTTGCCAAGTCTGCCTATTCCTAGTTTGTCCTTACCAAGCGGACTCTTGTACTGTCCCAACAGCACAGAAATTGACCCATGCGAGGGACACAAAAGATGGCCATTCAGTGGTTCAGCCCACATTGTGTGGCAGTCGGTCCCCCCAAGCCAGTCCCTCCATTGACCAATGCCACCCTCCAGGGGTGAGGAAACTTTATTAAATTAAGTGATGGGGAGTTTCTGAGTTCAGGAGATTAAGCTCTAAGCAATCAATTGATGTATTGACTCAATTGACTCAACTGACTTGGACTAACAATTCATTTCTCCTCCCATGTACTCCGCAAAGTTGCCTCAAGGATCAAGCAATATATTGGGTGCACCACAAAAGTGGTGTTGTGCTATGCCACAGTATACCAGTAGATAGATCATAAATGGAGGGCTCTGTATTAGTGAACTCTGTATTAGTGAAAAGCATATATTCATGGGCTCCCAGAACCTGAGAATATGCATTTCTGTTAAAATTTTAAAAATTTAATTATATAACCTTAATTTAGAAAGTTATTGATAGTTGAGTCTTAGGCATATAATATTTCAATAATCAATCCTCCACCAGTGCCAACTTCTCTACACCAGTGCTCCCAGACTCTATCCCATCCCATCCTCCCACCCCACCTTCCACCTTGACTGGCACGTTAGATCTCATGTTTCCAGTGTTGTTGAGTCTGTGCCTCAGATATCTAGCTACACCACTCTCCCACACCAACAATATAACTGAAGTCCCAATGCCTTCCCCCATACTATTTTCCTTTCTCAACTTCCTTCACCCCTAGATTGCTTCCTTCTCTGCATTTCTTACTTCTTTGCATTCTTTTCTCAAAGTGGCCAAGTATGGAACCCAGGGATTCACATATGCAGGACAAATGTTCTCTTGACTATAACCTGATTGAAGCATATGCATTTCTAACAAGTTCCCAGGTGACAATGAGGATTCTGGTCCAGCTACCAGACTAGGAAAAGCCCTGCTCTGGGTCTGCTCTTTCCAGATCAACTTTGCTTTTCTCCATGAAATGTACTATTTAGACTCTTTACATTATGTTTATGTTTTCCCCTTTGTGTTGTTTTGTTGGGATTTTTACCCAGACTATAAATTCCTCTGGGCAGAAATTATACCTTACGCACTCCACACACTCTTGATTTCTATTTTGTTAAATAATGAGCACATTTCCAGTACAATTAATAATAGAATAGGGAAGCAGGGGGACTCGGGCTATCAACCCCAATAAACAACATACACAAATGGATACCAGCCTTGGAATTCTCTTAAAAATTAATTACAAGTCAAAAAATATTCTGCTATTAGTAGCAATGCAGAAAAGAAGATGATCTTTCTGGCAATATGTTTGGTAAAATGTGGATTATTCAAGATTTCAGCTGTAACTTACTTAAACACCAACATTTCTTGAAATATAAAACCACAAACAGCATTTCAGCTCATAATTTTTATGGTGATAGTCAGACAATTGTGTTTTCAACATGTAAATTCCATTACACAGTCGGGGCAACAGTTTGCAATAAATTGTAAATTTTTATTGAGATGATCATCTTATGATTGAATTTCAAAATGTATTATGTGATCATCAGCAAATAAGTCCAGGGGGACTGCTAAAGTACTTTGAATATCATTTATAAAGATCAAAAACCCTGGAAACTTTTAGATTTACCCTGTGGATAGAGAAAAGTCTCATCGGCAGGATCAAATCAATTATTTTTATGGATGAATATTGAATTGCCGAGCTTGGATAGGGTATTACCTGCTTTAATAACTTATCCTTCTGTCCTTTGAAAGTAGTATGTTTCATAATCACATTTCAATGAGGAATTTTACCAAAGGCCCTTTCTGGAAAATAATTTTAAAAAAGGTATCTCCATTCATCCTCATGCTTCAGTGACATTCAAAGAACTATGCCCAAGCTACGAAGATATTCACTAACTCTGGGCAACATACTACCAAATACAGTGAAGAGATCTTGAGGAATGTTACAATAAATTTTGCTAGAACACAATTTGCATTGTGGTGGCAACAGATTCCAAGGTGTTTGGTATAATGAGGGTCACGCCAACATAACACATATCCCACGTATACTCTGTGTGTTTCTGTACACAGAAACATTGAGAAAGAACAAACTACCACCAGTTGAACTTCACATAGGAACTAAGTACAAAAGGGACCCTCGTGCCTGGGTTTTTGAGTCATGTTCATTTGTACTCAGTGGCCCAGATCCCAAACTCTCATCTCACGTGCTGCAGAGCCCTCCTTCTGATTCTGTCACAGCAGTCCCCAGGATGTCATTTTTCTGGTACCCATTTCCACACCAGAAACTTCAGGTCTATTCCGTGTAACCCACCATATGTACAGCAGTTTACAAGGAAATATACACATTAGCCAGGAATGTGTGTACAAAATTGTGAGATGCTTTTCATTGGTTTCTACTCATTTTAATTCTTTTTTTTTTTTGTTTTAGGCCTCCCAAATGTTTCTCAGGAGGTCCCTCAGCCAAACAGGCCAGAGGCTCAATGTAAGGGCCCAAGGATGTGCAACCACTTGGATCTTGCAGTGTTAGAGATACCCACACCACTTCAGCAGTTCTGAGGGTCTCCAGGGCCACACCTGATGGAGCTTGGGGGCTTTGAGGGCTGTACCTGGTCATGTGGTGCATGGAATTAAATCCAAGTCAGAAATGCGGGCGACACTATAGTATCTCCCAGCCCCTTTACTCATTTTTTAAATGTCACTGATAAAGTGGGAGTGGTGAGTCTCAGCCCCATGTCTGTCCCTAAGCCCAGTGCCTTTGTATCATGTGACTTTGTAGAGTGCAGGGATCTTTCAGGGCATGGGTCACAATATTGCAGAGCTGATTACATTTTGCTTTGCCTTTTGTTCTATGAAAGTCACTGGGCTAATGAATTCTCTCCCCACCCAGACTTGCCAGTGACGCCTCTATTCTCAGAAGCCATTGCTCAGGCAGCTATCTCCTCTGCCCCCCACTGGATTCTCGGGTCCTGTACCCCACTGTCATTACATCTACATTCTTGATTTATTCCCCACAAAGCAACTGATGGCCAAGAACATTAATGACAGAAAAACATGCTCACATCTCAACCACTTCAGGACAATCCTGCCACTGTGGACAGCTTGACTCCTTACTGCACAGAGAGCAGAGCACTTAGACCTAAAGGTTACCTAGAAGAAAGACACGAAACAATCTACATGACGTGTTTTGCCAACAGTGACAAGTTCTTTCCATTTCTCGAGTTGCCATCAGAGCTGGAGCCTCTCCGGGATGCTGACAGTGACCCTGTCACAGTCAATCTCCCCGATGGGAAACACCATGAATCCTGGAATTGGGACATAGCTGGATCCAACAAATACTGCCAGACCACAGGCACAGCCAACGCACTCCTCGGCAACATCCAGAAACCTCTGAGAAAAAGTCAAGCCAAGAGTTTCCATGGAAGCAGATTCTATTGGGATACAGAATCCAGAACCTAGAAGAGATGGTCCCAGCCATACTCTTAAGTGGGAACCAGAATCCCCAAGGTTTGTGGGGCCAGGAGGCTCTTAAGGACTAGTGGATTACACACAGAATCAGGAGGCACCTGTGACTCCTCACAGTCAGAATTAGATCCACAACCCTCCTCACAGCCAGAATTAGAACCACAACTCTCCTTACAGCCAGAATTAGAACCACAACCCTTAGGTAAACTTGTCAAAATCAAGACCTTGGGCTGGAGCAATAGTACTGTGGATAGGGTACTTGCCTGGAATGTAGCCAAGCAGGGTTCAATGCTCAGTACCACATATGGCCCCCCAAATCCAATGAGGAGTGATCCCTGAGCACAAAGCTAGAGAGTAACCCCTGTGCACAGTATATCATGGTCTCCCCAAACAAAACAAACAAACCAACCAAAACCCCAAGAGCTCATTATTGTCACAGACCCACAGCAAGAATCTTTGGGGAAAAGTTAGACTCAGAAACACCTCAGAGATATAACAGGAGCCAGAGTGACCACCGGAGTCCAGAGTCTACAGAGAAATGGCCTCATAAACCCTCTGATACACTCTCAAGGAAGCCTTAGACAGGCAAAGGGCACCAGATGCCTTGGGAGAGAGACACTGGAACATGCCAAGACTGGAAACTTCTCTGGGACAAAGCTGAAGTCCATTTGTAGAACCATACTTGGAACCAAGAGGTCACCAGAGTTACCACCACTACCAGGACATTCTCTCAGGCAGGACCCAAGTTCCAGCATTTTCCTGCACAGCAGGAAGCACTCACAGCAATGCTGAGTGATGGAGTCTCTGAGGCCCAGAGGAGGCTCAGTAAATACGAGGAAGGAGGCTCTTACCAGCACACTTGGTTCTGGTGGTGAGAGGTGGCCCTGGAGGTCCTGTACCTCCCTCTCCTGGTCGTGTGAGGAGCACCCGGATCTCGTATTCCACATCAGGGTCCAGATGCCACAGCTTATAGTTGGGAGAGTCAACGATGTGGGTCTCAGCCCAGGTGCCCGTGGTGGTGCGGTATTCCACCTCCTTGAGGATGATGGGGCCGTCCCCGATGATGGAATTGGCATTCGGCTTGATCCACAGGTATGTGGCCCCCACAGCCAGCAGCTCTGGGGGGGCTATGGGCGTCGGAGGTTCTGAAAGACAATGAGTGAAGAGCATTAGACCTAAGAGGTTGATAAATCAGAAGCTAAGAAAATGAGGACCAAGACAGACCTCCAGACATAGCCAAACAAAAGACCCTAAATTCCATGCTGGCCTCATCCACATCCTACTACAATTTTCACATTTCAAATGTAAATGCCTGGATGAATATTTCTTTAAACAGTATGATCAACTCCTACCACAATTCCTTAAAAAAATATAAAGATATTGTGGAAATGTGCATTCTCCCCCCCCCCCCCCCCCCCCGCACCCTGACACCATGAACCTTGAGTACAGAAAAACTCTCTTGGCTGACTGACACTTTCTAGCCTTGAATGATGACCTGCGTTTACTAGAGTTAAGTTCAAAAGCCATGGGGGTGGGAGGGATACTGGGATCCGTGGTGGTGGGAAATGGGCACTGGTGGAGGGATGGGTAGTTGATCATTGTATAATTGGAACCCAAGCACAAAAATGTGTAAGTCTGCAACTGTACCTCATGATGTCTCACTATTAACAAATTTTTTAATATAAAAAAAAGCCAGAAAAACAGTATCCAAACAGGTGAGGAAAAGGAAGACAATTCCAGAAACATGTCTGAAACTGCCTGGAACTCAAATGTCTGCAGATTCTAGGCATTCATGTTATTTCTTTTAAATGTTTACAAACATTTATTTAATTTCTTTTCTATATACATAGGCTATTATTTGGAAGTTCTCCCTGAGTAGTAATATAAACCTAAGTGTAAAAAAGGGTGTGGGCACAGCAAGAATTATGTTTTTTTCCTTGGTTCTAGTAGGTTCTTCCAAGCAGGGGAATGTCATGGGTCCTGGAGCCTATGTGAGAACCAAGGGTCACAAGAAAAGTCACGGGAATTATCTTGCATTTTTCATTAGATTCTACATCTTCTTCTATTAAACTAGAACTCTGACAAGTATTTACAATGTTTTATTTTAAAATAATCTAAATTTCAATGGGCACTGGTGGAGGCATGGGTATTCGATCATTTTATAACTAAAACCCAAGCACAAAAATTTGTAAGTCTACAACTGTACCTCATGGTGTTTCACTAATAAAACTTTAAGGAAAAAAATAATCTAAATTTTATTTTAATGGAACAAATGCAGTGTGTTGTATGTAGTAAGTAGGTACAGCATCTATCACTTTATTTATTTATTTATTTATTTTTATTTTATTGAATCACCGTGAGATAGTTACAAGCTTTCATGTTTAGGTTACAATCACACAGTGATCAAACACCCATCCCTCCACCAGTGCACATTCCCCACCACCAATATTCCCGGTATACTCCTATTTCCCACCCTTCCCCTGCCTCCATGGAGACATGATTCCCCATAATCTCTCTCTACTTTTGGGCATTATGGTTTGCAATACAGACACTGAGAGGTTATCATGTTTGGTCTTTTATCCATCCACTTTCTGCACACATCTCCATCCCGATCAATTCCTCCAGCCATCTTTTTCTTAGTGATCCCTTCTCTCTTATCCCCTTTGCTAATGAGGCAGGCTTCCAGCTATGGAGAAATCTTTTTCATCTGGCAACCCTTAGGAAAGTTGAAGAAATCAACATGTATTTTGTACCTCTTGCAAATACATCTCATATGTCTCACTTCAGGTAATTTTTCACTTTAAAATTAACATTTTAAAAGATTAACAACAAATAGGTGATCAAGTCCAAAACCAGAGGGCAGGGTAGAAATCTGTTCACCTCTTGATACATGTTTTGTAAGAGTGTGTGTGTGTGTGTTTGTGTATGTGTGTATTTTCATTTATTTGGGTTTTGGGCCATATCCAGGTGTACTCAGGGATTAGTCCTACATGTGGTACTATTTCTCTGGTCCTATTTGTTATTTTTATTTGCAGCTAAAATAGCACTATAATTAAACTTTTAAAAGTTTATTTTTTTTAAAGTTGAGAAGAAAAGAAAACACTCCCAATTCCTACCACCCAACATAGCTGCCATTTTCATTTCTCTATGTTCCACTCTAGGTTTGATTAATATTAGTAAATCTTTCACATGTGGTTAAGTAACACATAAATCCAATATGGACCCAACTTAATTTCTTCAGTGAGTGCTTTCTAAAGGACTCTTTCCATATTCTAAGTGAATTTACCATCACTGGTAATTATACAATTACCGGGAGTGTTCCTTACCTATGTCAGGTAGGAAAACTGTTATCCAATTTGGAAGTATAATAGTTGTTATGCATTTGTATTTTTTTAAATCATAAGAAATGCTGCAATGAACATCTTTGTGCAAATGATTTTAGTCCTTCTGGACTCCTATTTTCATAGGACCATTTGCTAGGAATGGGAATATCTGTCAAGGGGCAAGAATAGCTAGTGATTATTGAAGTAGAACTAGCAAGTAGAGGTTGGGACATGCATTTGGATGTAAAATGCGATGTAGATGTATTCAAGCACTTTAGGATAGGGTCTGGGCTAGTCAGACAGATAAGGCAGATATGAATTTCAGTTAGGAACTCGGATGAGAGCAACGGGATAGATTAGACTCCGTCAGTGTTTTCTTTCTAATTAATTACCTAGCAACAAAGAGGCTCCAGAAATAGAATAATTGCTATGAGACAGAGGTAGACAATATTTTCTCTCTGTGTCTCGAGGCAAATCTTTAGAGACAATTTCAGATCGCTTCCATTACTGTCTACGGTTTGGTCAGAGAAGGAAATTAAGCAGATTAGTCAAGCCAGATGCTTTTCTTTACAAAGCCACAGAGGTTATTACTCAAGACCTTATTATCTCAAAGGTGTTTGCAAATTGATTTTTGGATAATTTGTTCCAGGTAGAGAAGTTACGTTGGCAGGCAGATAATTTCTGGGCTCGTCCTTTGTGCATTTTAAATATATAGATCCTTTGATCACCATTATCAACTCTCCCGAGTTCCCATAAGTCTTCAGTGAAGTCCCAAGGGTGCTATTTGGTAGCTCTGTGATGGCTCTGCCCAATTCCTCAATATAATTATTCACAGACTGGCTCTGGACAGAATGAAGAGCAGCAGACTTCAGTACTTTGGGGCTTGAGCAAGTGACCACAAAAAACTCTCTTCTGTCAGTTTTCTACTAGTTTCACACTCCAGTTTCAAGAATCAGTAATATATTGCAAGCCACTAGAAATAAAATAATATATGTATCTTTCTAAGTGTTTCTTCTCTTTTCATGTATTCCAGATAGTAGATCGAAGTCGACTAGCAAACATTCCCTTAAGGATACAAATGTCTCCATCTTCAATGACTTACTAGTTTACATATCCATGTGTGAGTAGTCAGTGCGGTTGCTTCTCCCTATGTACCCTTGAGAATAAATTATGCAGTATAGTGCTTCCTATATCCGGAACCAAGAGATTACTAGAGAACTGTTTTTCTTTGTATATTTTAGAAAATCCATGGATCTACAGTTGAAAATCTTTGGAAGATATAAGCACTTGTGGTTCAGAGAGATAAGCAGGTATGAGGCATAACATGATTTTCTTCGTTAGGCTCCATATTTCCTTAAATATAAAAAACATTAAGCTTAACTATATCAGGTATCATCTCTACAGTGCAAAATATCGGAGAAGTCACCATATTTCATTATTTGATGTCATCAGAAAGGGAACTGAGACAGGGAAAACTCACGGCAGAAAGAAAACATTGGAATTCAGAACCCAGGTAGCATTCCTGTCACTCAGTGTTCTTCTGGTACTTCAGATGTATAAGATATTTACCAAAAGAATCATAACAGGAAGTCTATACAAGTAGTTTTAAGCCTTGGGGGATGCATGAAGTTTTATGAAAATTTGATGAAAAATTTCAAAATTCTCTTCCCAGAAAAAATGCACATTAAATATGGTGCCTAGTTTTCTACCATGGCAATTCCAGAACTCTCAGCATCCCATACCTGAACCACAGGGAACCTGTGTTAATATCAAAGAAAATACACAGAGGTCCTGCCAACAGATCACATGCCTATTATAATATACAATTTCTTTGTAGCCTTTTGCTGTGAGAAATCAGAAGCTGTGAATACAATCAAGGATGGGAATGGAATTTGATATAGAAGTCACAGATACAGCTCTTCCAAGTTCTAAAATTTATTAACACGTGATGAAAATGGACATACTAAGACTGTCAAAGGACAATGTCAAGTAAATCTCTAGATTACAATGATCACAATCTACTGAACAGTCATAGACTTAATATTTGAGCAAAAATATTTATGTATTTATTTATTTTTTGCTTTTTGGGTCACACCTGGTGATGCACAGGGGTTACTACTGGCTTTGCACTCAGGAATTACTTCTGGTGGTGCTCGGGGGACCACAGGGGATGCTGGGAATCGAACCCAGGTTGGCTACATGTAAGGCAAACACCCTACCCACTGTACTATCACTCCAGAATCTTGAGCTAAAATATTTAAAGAAAAAAATTATGGCCCTCCCCATGGATTGTTCTGTTTGAAGTAGAAGTCTTCCACCAGGGCTACGCTAGTAGCTTATATTACTACAACAAATACCCAAGACTGGGAAGACTGGGAAGTTACAACTACTAACACTTGCCTTGCCCCGTTCTGGAGGCTGGAGATTCCAAGATCATGGGGCCAGCAGAGTCTGTTCTTCATGACAGCCCCTCCCATTTTGCGCCATGTCTTTAAGTGATGGAAACATATCACTAGTGCTCCCTATTCTTCTTTGGGAACTACATCCATAATGAGGATTACAATCACACAACTACATCAAAATCTAAATGTCTTCCACAGGCCTCACCCTCCAGCAGCATACTGGGGTGAAGGCGTCAATATGTGAATATGGAATGTATGTTGGGGTGCAGTTCTGGCTCGAGTTCCAGAGGCTATGCTTTCTAAATCCATGTCCATGCATGACTTTCCTACCACTAGGGTCTTTAGGTATACCACCTGTAAGAAGAAAAACTTTCCTTTAAAATCCCAGCTGATATACTCGGTGTCTCTTCATGTGCCAGG